GGGGTGCTAGTGGAGCCTCGCAGCGCGGCGAAACTATGGCACGCTTAAACTGTGGCACGCTTACACTGTAGTTGCGCCGTGTTTGGGGGTGTGGGGGGGGATGCGGGTGCTAGTGGAGCCTCGCAGATGGGGTTGCTGCAGCCCCCTGAGCACCCCCCCCCCCTTTCCCGCGTCCATTCAAGATGTCTCGCAGCAAGCAGGAAACCACACCAGTAAGCCAGCTCAAATTGTCAGCTCCTCGCAGCAGCGAGCCAGTGGGCGAGCTGACCAATCAGAGCACACTGGCCTCACAGGGAGAGGGGGGGCAGGAGCTCCAACAAGGCGTTTAGGACAGAGAGTGAAATTCAGTGAATACACATACTATACAGAGAGGTTGTATGAGAAAACCAATGTGAGTTTGGAAAATTGAACAATGTAAATCTATTTTAGTAGACCTCAACAATGGAATTATGATCAGTAGAAATGGCCATGTCATGGGACCTTTGATTCGTTTTTGCTACTCATACCTGTTTGGATTACTGCTATATTATATTGTCTGTGATCTAAATTGACTCACCATATGTTTCTGCCCCCTCTCTTAGAGAGTTCCTGGGACAGGGCTGGATGAAGGTGGATAAGACAGAGAGGACACCATACATCATGAAAACTACTCAACACTTCAATGATGTAAGCTCCAAAATGTCTTTATTTATAAAACTTTATTTTGACCCTTTAAATATCCAACACCAAACTTTCATGGTCTCTTTTCTTCTCCGTTTGAAGATGAGCAACCTGGTGGCATCCCAGATTATGACCCACACTGATGTGGGCTCCAGGGCCAACTCCATAGAGAAGTGGGTCGCTGTGGCCGACATCTGCCGCTGTCTCAACAACTACAACGGAGTCCTGGAGATCACATCTGCACTCAACCGCAGCGCCATCTACCGTCTGAAGAAGACCTGGGCTAAAATCAGCAAACAGGTGGAATAATTCCCCATCAATACTCTATGTATGACTAAAAAAATAGAGTTTACCGGATCTTAAAAGGTTACAAAAAGTGATTTGGTCTCTGCGATGTTCAGAGGCAGGAGCAAATTAGTTTTATTTTCATCTTGTTTTATTAAGAGTAATAGGACATTGGCTTAATGCATGATCCTTCTTGTTGCTCTAAATAGTCTAATGAAATATATATTTGTGATCTTGTCCAGACTAAAGCACTGATGGACAAACTACAGAAGACTGTGTCATCTGAGGGAAGGTTTAAAAATCTGAGGGAGACCCTGAAAAAGTGAGACTTGGCAAATCAATCGTTATACATTTTTCAAAATGAACGCAAATAATGTGCTTAATTCGTTCACACTTTTTTTCCAGCTGCAACCCTCCAAGTGTGCCATACCTGGGAATGTATCTCACAGATCTGGCCTTTATTGAGGAGGGGACACCCAACTTCACAGACGAAGGTCTTGTTAACTTCTCCAAAATGAGGATGGTAGGCACATAAATGAATACAAAATATGAAAATTATCATTACGTGTAAACTTGTCTTAAAATGTCCACCTAATTTCCCCATTTTCTTTAGATATCCCACATCATCCGAGAGATCCGTCAGTTTCAGCAGACTCCTTACAGAATAGAGCATCAAGCCAAGGTACTTGTCTCTTAGATATTTTCACAATAGGAGTTGTTTTTCTCAGTAACATCAGCAAAGTAGACCGTGATTGCATGTACGAACTATTTAAAAAAATAACTTTATTATATAGCACAGTAAAAAACAGAGTTCTGAAGTTCTTTAAAAAGGGGCAGAAAAATTGTCAATTGTCAAGATTAACTTAATTACCTCTAACACAAGAGCCGCGTTCACACCGGAGTACTTTTCCCACTTTAGTTCCGATATAGTTCCGAAATGTCAGTCCCCAACTCCGGGGACTTCCGGCCGGGGATTTTGGGCGGCAGTATACGCCGTGAAGTTGTTTGCGGCCTGCCAGTAAACCCAAAGCAGAAGAAGAAGAAGTGACGTCAGCGGCTTCTGAAGAAACACACTCCTCAATGTCAGTTTCGGTAATTTATTGACAAGGATGACGACACCATGAATGAGTGGACGAACGTCTCAACTCGAGGCGGAGTGAATGAACAATGTTTGAACTAAAATGGCCGCTCGGCACTACCGGGTCAGAGCATGGCATAACCGGGCAGCGACAGCAGTCACGCTGCCCTCTTGTGGCCGGCGATAAACTCTTCAGCTTCATTTGCCTAATCCACCCCCAGGGACTTATTCCGGTGTGAACACGATCTGTACTTAGTCCATCAGAACTAAAGAGTTCTGATGAACTGACTTCTCATGAACCTTTGTGGGAAAAATACTGCGGTGTGAAAGCGCCTAAGGTTTGACATTAAAGATCCTTTGCGGAAGTGCTGGTCATCTAATGTGAAATGATTTAAAATGCCTTATTTATGATATACCAAATTTGAAACATCAAGAGAATATCAATTCACCCTCGCTGGACCTATCAGAAAACTGTGCAGAGTAGTTTAGACAAAGAGGACGATAAAATCTGTGGCGACTGTTGCTGCGAGGCAGTGCGGTCGTCTTTTAACCAAAAGGTTGTGGGTTCGATCCCAGCTCGTGCAGTCAAAATGTTGATGTATCCTTGGGCAAGATACTTAACCCTGAGTAGCTCCCGATGGCCAATGATGTGTAAATGTGTATGAATGTTAGCTCATAGATTAATTGGTACTGCTTTGCATGAATGAAATGTGAATGACTCGTAGTATGTAAAGCGCTTTGAGGGGTGAAAAGACCTGATAAGTAAAGGCCATTTAACATTTCCATTTAATTTAAATTAAGCTGCATATTTGCATGTCCATTTCTATTTATTCCTTATTAAGACTTTCAAGACCATCTAGTCCTCTAGTTGCTAAAAAAGTTAAACAATTCAGTCTTTAATTAAAAACAACTAAAATAATCCATAGATGTACAAATATTTTGCTGTTCAGGACAATATGCCCTCCTTTGATATTTTCTGTCCAGGTGACCCAGTACCTGCTAGATAAGACTCTCATCATGGATGAAGACACACTCTACGATCTCTCGCTGAAGATCGAGCCCAGGCTCCCTGCCTGAGCTACAGCTGTTTGTGGCCAGTGGGAGCCTGCCAGACCTGGACCCCCCGAGGGCAACACGCCCACGTTATCTCATCAATCAGGAGGAAATTGGAGAGATTTGAGAGCAGCATAGAAATGAAGATAAGAGCGATACTGACTGAAGTGAGAGATATCTTTAGAGTCAAGTATGACGGTTGGACGGTTGGTTTTTTCCAAGGGACTGAGGGAGCATGAGAAGGTTGTGGAGTTATAATCTCCAAGGAAAAGAGGAGGAAAGGTTTTAGTTGCACTGTGTGAGGGTTTTGAGAAAATGTCGCTGTGTGCGCTCATCATTCCTCAGTGGAGCATGTGGTGCGCATGACATCACACTTCCTCAGACAGCCTGAGAGTGCAGGAAAGGCTGAGAGCATGGAGTGTAGGATGAGTGTAATACAGTGGATGTAACAGAGATGTAGCATATACAGATAGTGTGTCAGAGAGATGTCTGAGCTCGTGTCTCTGTGCTGTTGTCTGTGTTCTGTTGCCTGCGCATTTCCGTGCCATGTCCTGGAGCATAAGCCCCAAAAAAATGCTTTATGTCATGATGGTCACTGCATAAAACTTGCATGATTTCAGCTTGGGATGTAACTGTCTAAATGGCCTTCAACCTGACCCCTGACCCTCAGCTTAGTATGCTTCACTCTAACCAAGGTGACTCTAAGCCACTATGCATCCTCAGTGGGCTAGGTATGAAAAGATGCCTTTAAGCCTTTAAATATATTGTGGAAATATACTATAATTTGGATAATTTTAAATAGGAATTTGATTTATTTTTGATGAAGTGGCTAATGTTTCCATTGTAGAAAAACTGAATTCTGTATTTGTCTATAGTAGGTTTTTGTCTAAAGCCCTCCATTTACAATTGAAAGCTCTTTAAAAAAAATTTCCTCATGAATGATACGAAATTAAAACATTTATCAGTGCCTTCCACTAGTGTAGGTCAATTTCCCCACAATGTTTTCTTAAGAAAATAGGTAATGTCGACTAAACAGTAGCATGTTTGTGTAAACACAGTAAAGTCATTTCAGAAAATATCTCTCTAGTGTTTAAACATTGTAATAACCGACCCAAAGCTTTGGTATGTGTGCACTTTGATTTCTTTAGCTTTTACAAATTGTCAGATACTGACGTGTGTAGTTAGTCCTAGTGTGTAACTCTTGGATGTAAGCTGGGACCGTTTTTGCACTCTCTGAGATGTAGCTTCGCTTGAGTGACAGTATGATCGTTATTTACCATGCTATTTATTTCATCAGATAATGTATTTATGCTATTTTGTATAAAGTGACTCCACACCTATCATATGATTGATGACAAATTGTTTTGCTGTGAATATTAATTTATCGTTGTAGTTTTTTGTCTATCTTGCTTTGATGTTGAAATCTAGTTTTGCATCCCAGCCTCTTGTTTTGCAAGATATCTGTTTAACTTTATTCTGAAGAAAAAAAACGATGTCTTTTGAACGTTAAAAAGATGTAGCATTTGAATAACCAGAATGTTTTCTGTATTGCTGATATGATCAACATAGTTGTCCTGCATGTACACAACAGCTGCATGTTGTGCATGTCTAACTGGACGCTCCCTCTGCTTCTCTATTTTAATATTGTCTCTGTATCTGTCAGGAGGCTCAGTTTAAAGGCATAGAAATACTATTTTGTCCATCAAATCTGGCACATTTCTCTCTTAGTGTAGCTTATGACATCACATCTTTCAGCTCGAGTCATCTGCCAATCAGTCTATCGTTATGGAGTAGCAGTGTTGGAAGTGATGCACTCCTCAGTAAAAAAATATTCATCCAACAATAACCTTGTTCCAGATTGATTAAAGAAAATGTTTAGAGGCTTTGCTTTAAAAAAACACAACCTTTTTTTGCACTGCATCTGTATTTCTAAGTGTTTGTTTAACATACAGGATGCCACATTTGTATTGTATTTTCATTTTTGTGTATTTGTTTTCATTGTTCGCGGTGCAGGAGAAATAAATTCAACATGCCTTATATGTTTGCGTATTTTCTCGAGCTATGCATCATTGAGATATTAGGTTCCTTCTGATTCCTCTAAACAGTGGCTCTTCATTTGAACCTCTATGTCAATTTTTCAATGGACTACAATGTGGGACCACACTCTTAAAATAATGTGAGATAAATGTTTGCTTTGATCAGGGAACAGTTTAGGCCTCCATATCGTCACGTAGTGTAATCCGGCACTGATGCAATCCTGCCACCCGGTGGTCATGTACAGCATTCCCGCTATTTGCTACAGCAGAGGCATGATGACCTGTATACATTACATGTTACTTGTTAAATGCTTTTATCCAAAGCGACTTACATACCCCACAGGAGCAATTTGGAGTGAAGTGTCTTGCCCAGGGACACAACGACGTGCTGACTGCAGTGGGGTTTGAACCTGTGATCCCCTGATCCCAACACCAAGGCTCTATCCACTGCGCCACACGCCTCCAGTGTACAAAACATATAAACCGTTTCTTGCTCCTCAATGGTTAAAACCAAAAAGTGTAAAAAACATAAAAACGTGTTTCTCTAATTTCCCCTGAAATGATTTTAGACAGTAAGCATGTTATTAATGTGAGCTAACAATCAATATGGAATATGGAATGTTTAATTACATAACTCTTATCTATAAAATTTAACAGCTTTAATATAAATACACTGACTTACAGTATGAATGTGCGTTCACTATTCACTGTTAGAACAACTTACATTGATCGTTTTTGTTGCAGGAGATAATGTTAGCGTGAATGAAAGGGAGAGAAGAAGAGTGTGAAGAAACAAGTGGTGATGTGTGAATCAGAAGTTGAGCGTGTTTGCAAGGCGATGAAGTCATCGTTCCAAATGCTGTCGAGGAACTTTGACAAGTTGTTAGTGTGGGATCTGCTGTCCGTTTTTAGTGCTGATAAACCAACTGGAGGCTGGCAGTTGTAGGTTGCAAGCATTTGTGTCTCAGCGGGAGTTTTATAGCAGATTAACCAACATGACTCCTGTTTCCAAGCGACAGTTGGACGACAGTTAGTCAAAGTTTACCAGAACGCTGTTGGTGCGACATCACAGCCCTTTCCAGTCTAAGACAGTAGCTTATTGTTAAGTGAAGATCATTAATACTGTACTTGAATTGCTGGGAAATACAATAAGTAGAAGGCATCCAAATTAGAGACACTATTGAATAGGTGATGATATCAATTTTAGATGCCATTGATTGGCATGGGAGGTAACGTTTGCCAAACTGACAGACATGCTGACTGACAGTAGAAAGAGGATTTTCTGTCTGACGCCTAGTGAGAGGCTAATCCTTATCCAGTGCACCCATCCCGTCTCTGTTCTTCAGTCTGCTCTCATTCTGCAGATCGAGCCTCTCCGGACTGAGCTGCAGGAAACACACAGGCCCTTTGCCACCTCAACTCTTCAGAAAACCCTCAGGTGAGCAATAAACTCCCCATCCTCTCCTTTCTTGCAGCCCTGTCCATGTTTCTTGTCTCTCCAGTGGGGAGTAAAATTGTTGCTTACAGCTTTTAGGCTGCATTTTACACATTATTCACTTATTTGTTTTTTATCAAACTTGTGACTGTCCTCTGAAAAGGGGATTTCAAAGAAAGAAAAACATTTATATTGTTGTAGAGTATGCATAAGACTTTGAGGATTTATTTTTGATCACTTGTTCTAACGATATTTGATGGAAGTTTCAAATAGCTTTGTAAACACAGTGTTCATCATCTTTTTTCTTACATGCCCAATATTTACATGTGGTCTACACGGCACAGCAGCCTTTTGCATTAGGGCCTCTTAATCTGCCTGATATCAGCAGGTAGACAGTAGTCTGTATACTACTGCTCCCCTCCCTTTTGTCTTTATTCTTTTTAGAAACATCACATGTCACAAGTGCCTCTCCTCATTACCTTCCCTCTTCATTTAATCTTCAAGTCTGGGACAAGATTCTCTCTAATCCAACCTTTTCCACTCTCTTCTTAACCTTTTGTGAAATCCCAACTGACCCTCACTCCTCCTTTACTATAATCACCAACTCCTGCTCCTTTACAAGTCTTTCTTTTCATACATCCAACATCCATTGTCCACAGCTCCTTTCAAACTCAATTTCCTCTCACTTACTTTCTATATTTTAGTCTTCCTCACCTAAAGCCCACTCTCTGTCTTTACGTTGTTCCTGTGTAAACTCAGCCAAGCAGCCCAGACTGTCAGAGAGGATCATGTGTTGTCTTGGGCTGATGCCACCTCTAAACTGGCACTCCAGCTTAACCTCACCAACTGCTACTATAAATACTGTGTGTGGGTGTGATGGCCAGGTGACTTCAACCTATACAGATTAAGACATATATAGAATATGTTTAATGGGTGATGTGCAAATATACAGCAAACATCCTGAAATCCTGTAATCTGTCACTTGAGGACTTGATCGGTTAATGACATTAGTTGTCTAGTCTGAAGATGTGTGTTAATGTTCTTCTAGATCATGCCTTCTGTGACATTCAGGCAGGATGCTGTAGTAAAGAGGCGCAAATAAACATAAACACATAGGCTGTCATATATAACTCCATAAGGAGATAAAACAACTATAACCACAAGCAGTGTAAATACACTTTGGTATTCAGAGGTAAACTAAAGTACTCAAGTAATAACTGTTGATGATACTTGATGACTGTCAGCAGCAAACTGGTGGTAGACAGCGTAATCAGATCTTTTACTTCAGTAAAGGTTATCATACCACACTGTAAAAATACTTTGTTATAAGTGAAAGTCATGCATTCCCATTACAATACACAAACAAAGCAATACCTTTGAAGTATTCTTGGTAAACCTAAATTAAAAGTATTTATGATGCAGGATTTTAATTATTTATATTAAATAGTTAAATAATAATGTAGTAAATCCTATCCTTACATGTTGTCACAGACTAAGATGTACATAAATGTACTCTATTGTAACCTTTTTCGTTAAGAAAAACACAGTGTTAATGGAAAATCAACTTTACCCTCTGACCTTTCACCAGGTAATAACCAGAACAGGTAAGCATGGCGAACTCTTTCACCCGCATGATATCTGGCCGTAACACGGCTGTGATTCTGGCCAGCGTGGGAGCTGGCTCTCTGACGTCTGGATATCTTCTCTGTGACAGCACTGCTGATGCAGCTGAGAGGAGGAAGCTCTATCCACCCAGGTACATATGTGACTTTCTTCAATAATCTCCATACAGCCAAAATGTCTATATTATTTCTCCATAAAATAAGAGATATTAAATCAGTTTATCATTTAGTTACATTCAAAAACAATGCATGGCATACATACAAATCAAGTTCCTTGGAACAGTTAATCTAACAAATAAAATTATATAATATTTATTAAGAAATGTATTTCAAAAAATGCAGACATGTATGAATTTATCCTCAAAATGCTGAAGCAAACTAAATGATTTATAACGTGATTGGTCTTTGGTTACAGACTTGAAAACAGTTTTGTAAGTTGTAAAGCTTCTTGTCCAAACAATAAGTAAGTGTTTTTTTTATTTATTCCAATAGCGCTGATTTCCCTGACCTGAGGAAGCACAACAACTGCATGGCAGCAGCCCTGACCCCCACCATCTATGGACACCTGAGGGACAAGACCACCTCCAGCGAGTGGACCGTAGACCAGTGCATCCAGACCGGGGTGGACAACCCTGGACACCCCTTTATCAAGACTGTGGGCATGGTAGCTGGAGACGAGGAGAGCTACGAGGTTGGAATTCATGTTTGCAGTGTGTTTTTGTGTCTACAATCTAAAAATGAGATGTGAAACTGAGTGTTTTATTTTCTCCACCAGCTGTTTGCTGAGCTCTTTGACCCTGTTATCAAGGATAGACACAATGGCTACGATCCTCGCACAATGAAGCACCCCACTGACCTGGATGCTTCAAAGGTTACACCAGCATTTCTCTTAACTAATTTCTCTCCATTCCATCCTCCTCCTATAACCTGCTCAAACTCCCACACGCAGTGACGTAATGCTTTCACCTCCTCAGATCAACTCAGGAATGTTTGATGAGCGCTACGTGCTGTCATCTCGTGTCCGTACCGGGCGTAGCATCCGCGGACTGAGTCTCCCCCCTGCATGCTCGCGCTCTGAGCGCCGTGAGGTGGAGCGTGTCTGTGTGACCGCTCTGTCCGGCCTGAAGGGCGACCTGGCTGGGCGATACTACAGCCTGGGAGATATGTCTGATAGAGAGCAGCAACACCTTATTGATGTAAATGCACAAACATACCCTCGCACACACTCAGAGACAAGTATCTCTATTGGTTTTTTGATGGATGTTGGCAACTAATGTTCCCCATGATTCCTCTGTCCCTTCACTGGCAGGAGCACCTCCTGTTTGATAAACCTGTGTCACCTCTGCTGACTGCATCCGGGATGGCCAGAGATTGGCCTGATGCTCGTGGGATCTGGTAAGCCGAGGCAAATCCCTGTCTAAAATAAACAGTGCTGATTGGCTGTAGTCACAAACATCCTTTTAAAGCAGTGTAGCGTATTGGATGACATTTATCAATGTGTTGGACGCAAAGGGTTATTTAGGAAATATCTTCTGACAACAGACACTATTAGACACCAACATCGTACAATACAGGACCAATATGAGTAGAGAGAAGTGGCTTATACTGTAGAATTAGATTACACAGTTTTTCTGTAAAATCACGTTAGAACAGTTTATAAAGAAATGCATTCCCCTATTGCTGCAAGGCTTAAAAATAACCAGCAAACAACAATGGTGCTTGATTGTTAATTAGTCTCACAATGCATGGACATTTTTTTTCTTCCTCTGCCTAAAACATCACTGGTAGAACACTGATGCGTTTGCTTGCAGCTCGTCCATACCCTCCATTACTGATGAGTAATCTACTTGTGCCTTAATGATCCTTTCCATGCTTTTAAAATACTGCTCCGCACTAATTAAATGTAACTCTTCTTTGCAAAAAATGTTCTGGCCTCTCTACTTCCT